CAAGTAAAGCTTGGGCTCAACAGCGTCCAAAACTGAAGACGAGATGCCAAATTACAACCTTAACGTCTACAATTTGGTGTCCCTTGGTAAGTTAGCGGTTGATTTACGTTTTACAGTTACTTAAGTCTGTTAATATATATATATATATATACCTTTAACACACTTTCAAGCGAGGAAGGATGTCAAAAGGCTTAACTCTATTTCTTGTTTCAGACGCCATTTCCCGGCAAAAACGGCAGAAGGAATATCATCACTAACACTACGCTAAGCCTAAACAAAAGTCGTGAATTAAAATCTAATTGTGTGACGTTTCTTTTTCGGCAAATCCCAGATATTTTAATGCTTATTTCCTCTGTTTGATTCCCCACTAAACTGTAGGGAATTAGAAGGCGGGAGCAATCCAGAAGCTAAGAGTTCTAAGAGGGCGTTACTGGCTTCAAATTGCCAATATTTTTATATCAGTTTCAGGTGAAAGGAGGATAAAAAAAAAAGATATGAATCACAAGTGCGTGTAGAAAACCCTATTTTTAAAAATAAAAAGGTTAGAAGTAAAAGCTATCGTATACAGAGGTCCGAGTTACACATATCTACAACACCGATAAACTGAACGTTTCAAAACATTGTTCCTCATCCATTTTTATTTTGATAATGGCAACAGCGAAAACAAAAACACAAGACAGCATGAAACCAAAAATCCTCCCGTATTACCTTCCAAACAATGATGACTTATTATATTTCCTATATTTATATAATGTTCTTATGTCAGTATTTCACACCCATCTTGTTGAGTGTTGAGATTTCACGAACTCGTCCAACAAAGCCGGAAGAAACAGCTGAAGACAGATATGATTCAACCGAGTTTTCCCAATAGTATGTGCACACCCGTGGTTCATTGTATACATGATACAGCATACTGATGCTCACAACTACAGGATAACCAGTGCCACCCAGATGATCCCAAAATGAACGACCGGTTGACGTCTACCTACTGTGAAATTTTGGCAAATAACTCTCAGCCACGTAACCAACAAAGAAACGTTTAATACGACTGAATCTGTAATAGCTTTTTTTTTTTAAGGTTGTGTATCTAGCAACTGGTCTAATGTTGAAACGTATGACTGCTATTTAAATCCCACCTCTCACACAAAAATTATCCCTTCACAATCGGAGTTCATGACAAGAATTTCTGCAACAAATGGCACCAGATGCTTAAAAATACGTCTTCAGAACTCACGAACTTCTATCAAAAGTTAAGGAAATTTCCTTCTATTTTCATCTCTATACCCCTCACTAGAAGAACATTATAAAATTAAACAGAATGGAACTTCTTAGAAATAACGTCGATTTAAAGAGAGTGGCCACTTCTAGCCATTTTCTTTGTTGATAACAGTGTTACAATAAAGTCAACAAACAAAGATAGGGCTACTGTTGTTCCTAACAATACTTATATCACTCAAGCTAACCGCCAAACAAAGATGGGACTACTGTTGTTCCTAACAATACTTATATCACTCAAGCTAACCGCCAGACAAAGATGGGACTACTGTTGTTCCTAACAATACTTATATCACTCAAGCTAACCGCCAGACAAAGATGGGAC